CACCAATTCAACTGGAAACCAAGGGTGTATATTTCACAATGGACCTATGGCTCAAATGCACATGTGCCTATTCTGACAGGGGAGAGAATAGGTCAGCCGTCGCACAGGTATGTTCAGAAAAGGTTTGATCTGGTAAGAAAAGCAGAGCTATGCAGAATCAGGAGCTGGAGGCATGATGGTGTTCTTGTCTGTTAACTTATGCTGCAATGGCTGTCCCTTTCTTGAGAAATGGGGAAGAAGAGATTACTTGTGAAATAATGGAAGTTCAGCAATTGCTACAACTACATATTTCCAGTCATCTTTTTGAGAGGCTTTAAAATATGGGAGATTTCTCTCTCTTCTCCCTTCTTTGAAAGTGAGTTCCTGAACAAGGTCTGAGGAAAGGATTTTTAGGAATACAAGTTGCTGAGTTATTAGGTCTTTAGTGCATTCTTGGCTAATGGCCACAAGTAATGATTTGCGGTTCTTTATAATGTCCTGGATTTGGGCCCATAAAAATAGTTGTTAATTACTCAAACAGAGATTCAGTGGAAAAAATGCCCAGAACATTTAACTGCAAAATATAGTTATCTCTGGACTTCTGCATCGGCTGCTCATTTCTGGGATATTAGTTTCCTACCAAAGTTAACACGTTCCCCAACTTGCTAGTTTGCCATTTCAGATGGAGCAGTGCACCGCTGAGACACTGAAACACACTATAGGCCACATCCAAAAGCCATTGGGAATCTCTCCACTGACTTCTCCTGGCTTTGGAACAGGCCTTAAGGGAAAAGAAAATAAATATGTTAGGAAGTTTTGTTTCTTTAAGCAATTATGCTGCCTCTCTTAAGGCCTGACCTAAACCCTTTGAAATCAATGGGAATCTTTCCATTAACTTTGACGGGTTTTGGATCACACACACTTGTTCCAATGCAAACTCCTTTGCCCATGTGAAGAGGGCTCTGCGTGAGCACGGTCTCTAGCCACAGGACAGCTCAGAGGTCAGCGGATGTGACTCCTAATTTATTATGATAGTTCAGGCCCCAGATTTGCTCTCTTGGTTTTGTTACAGAGAATGTCCATTTCCATCGGCAATGCTATCAGGTTTGTTCTAGGCTGGTTCTTTGAAGCCACATTTTGCTCTATTCTTGTGTAGCTCATTAAAATGAATGAGTTGTTTTGGGTTTACACTCAGGTGCTTAGGGAGTGTTCAAAAGCTGATTGAACTCCACCTGCACCTTTCCCTGGACGTCAGTGAGCTGCGGATGAGGTCCTTAAACATGGCTGGGGCAGATCAGGAACTGAAACATTTTTGAACATTGTCAATCGTTATGAATTATTGATAATCGTCATCAGTTTTATCCCAGGAGTGCCAAGGCAATCGAGAACAGGGGGGCCCATTGTGCGAGAAGAGACTAGCAGCCAATCGTACATTGACAGACAGATAGCGTTTGGGAGGGTGGCAAAGCCCCTTGATCGTATTGAAGGTGTTGGTGTTGTTTGAGCAATGTTGAGCGGCGTGTAGGGTGGCAGTTCTGTGTGAAGTTTGTTTGTGGAAGTTCGGCAGGTGCAAAATTTGCTCTACTTCTTCCCCGCCTCCTTATATTGGTTTCTAAAGTTCATCTCATTCTTAATAGAAGAGAGGGCAAGGAGCATAAAACAAATTCTCAATTAATAACTCCAAACTCATGATTGGATCCACTCTACAATAACAAGCCAATGTGTATGCGTGTGATAGGGGATGAGCAGCCTGGTGAGGAAATAGAATACACTATCCAGATTTCAGGAGATTATTCATACACAGCAGATAATAAAGGAAAAATGATGTGAAGGGTATAAACCCTCATGCTTCAGGGCAACTCTAACTAATGGGGGTCAGGAGGAAACTTTCCCTATGGAGAGGTTATCCCATCACTGTCTACTGCAGAGTACACACACCTTTCCCTGAAGCCAGTGGTGGTTGCCACTTTCAAAGACAGGGTAGAGACTAGATGGTCTGATCCAGTCTGGCAATAACTACATTGCTTTGCTAGTGTCTCTAACCATCTTTCCCTTGTTATGAATTTTTATGAATTTTCGAACAACTCTGTTCAGCAGGAATAAGGACTTGGCCACTGTGTAATCCTGCCGAACACTGGCACATAAGCCTTTCCATGCCACCACAATGAACTCCAGGCAGCTATGTATTTTTCAGCTGTCCTTTGTACCTGATTCACAGACATCTGGATGCAGATTTAGAAGGAACCAAAAATAAGACAACTTCTACCCATTCTCCCCTGGGTGGAGGAATTCCATGTAGGAACCGGGATTCTCTAGGAGTTCTCACCGGCAGAAGTCCCTTTATTCTTTCCTCAGGGTTGGGGTGGGAGGTAGGGACTTAAACGGTGCATAGTCCTTGTGCTGACCTGCCACGCAGGGGGAAATTTACCCCTTTGTGAAAGATCACTTGAAACGGGGGCACATATCCCCGGCGGCCCCTGCTGATGAACATGAGTATAAGAAAAAAAGGTTTCAGAGTAGCAGCCGTGTTAGTCTTTATCCGCAAAAAGAACAGGAGTACTTGTGGCACCTTAGAGACTAACAAATTTATTAGAGCATAAGCTTTTGTGGACTACAGCCCACTTCTTATGCAGCTCCTTTGCTACTGGTTCTCTCAACCCCAGGCACATTCCAGCTGGTATCTTGTTTTACGAGTCCCATAAATACACTCCTGTGTCGGACAGCCTGTCAAGGGAACAGGACCAGGCTGAGAGAGGCTAGATGACCGAAATCACAACTCTTGTCCCAGGAGGTTGACAAGAAAGGAAAACGGAATCTGTCATTACAGACAGCAGAGATAAGAAAAACAGCTTCCATAGTTCTGGAGGTAGCATTGGATGACTTAATAACTCTATAGGAGTCCTTATTAAGGACTGGGAATGGCTGAGCCATTACAAACATTGACTCTATCTCCCCTTGTAAGTATTCTCACACTTCTTATCAAACTGTCTGTACTGGGCTAGCTTGATGATCACTTCAAAAGTTTTTTTTTCTCTTATTTAATTGGCCTCTCAGAGTTGGTAAGACAACTCCCACCTGTTTATGCTCTCTGTATGTGTGTATATATATCTCCTCAATATTTATTCCACTCTGTATGCATCCGAAGAAGTGGGCTGTAGTCCACGAAAGCTTATGCTCTAATAAATAAGAAAAAAAGGCTCTCAAATGCTGGGCAAAATCCCACAGTCCTTGCTCAGAACCAAATTCCCACCGCTTTCACTGGGAAGTTTATCTGAGGAAGACTGCAGAGGGAATATTTCTGAAATCATCTTGTCCTATAGAGTTATTAATCGGACTAGTCATCCAATGCTACCTCCAGAACTATGGAAGCTGTTTTTCTTATCTCTGCTGTCTGTAATGACAGATTCCGTTTTCCTTTCTTGTCAACCTCCTGGGACAAGAGTTGTGATTTCGGTCATCTAGCCTCTCTCAGCCTGGTCCTGTTCCCTTGACAGGCTGTCCGACACAGGAGTGTATTTATGGGACTCGTAAAACAAGATACCAGCTGGAATGTGCCTGGGGTTGAGAGAACCAGTAGCAAAGGAGCTGCATATGGTGAAATGACAAGTAGAGAACAGGAATAATTCCTTTTTCCTTAACCAAATAAGGAGCACATGATCTAGTCTATTCTATTGGCTCCTCTGGCACAATGGAGCTCTCGTCAATATGGGTAAATCTTGTCTGTGAGGAAGACAGGACGTTCCCAGGGGCTGGTCTGAGACTGTGGAGTGAACTCCCCCGGGATCTAAGGGCCATCTCCATTTTCCGCTCCAAGTGCGCAGAGCATTTCTTTGACCTGCCCTCTCTGACAATATAGAGCAATGTGCGCGCGCACACACATGCACACACACACAGAAAACACCCTACCAAAACAATACACTCCACTGCCCACATCTCTCTCACTGGTGAGAGGATGAGAGAACAAACAACATGTGACTGACATTCGTTACGGTACTGAATGCCCCCCCCGGGAAGACACTCACACACTATAGCGATGAGCGCAGTATAATAACCTACACACAACAGAACTGGTGTCAATCAGCGTAGTTCCACTGACACCAATGGACCTATGCCCATTTACACCAACTGAAAATCATAACGAGGACAACCCATGGCGCCTGTCACTAACCCACAACCAGTGGGGCAGATCCTGCCCTCTCCTCAGCGTAACCCCAGTGACTCCTGATTTACATAGGGGCCAATGATGGGAGAGTCAAGCCCATTGGTTCACTCTGAGTCGAAAGCAGATTTACCCCCCCAAACCTGCCTCAGAGCCACTGCTGAACTCAGAACTGACACCAAAGGGCTAACGAGAGAGTCGGGAGTCAGTACACGGCCAAACCTGCCTCAGGGCCACTGCTGAACTCAGAACTGACACCAAAGGGCTAACGAGAGAGTCGGGAGTCAGTACACGGCCAAACAAGGAATGGTGAAGCACCAATGGTTGGAAAGAATAAGGAGGAATCCTTTTTTTTTTTTTTGAGATAGAAAATAAAAGTTGGTGTTTCCCATGATTTCCACGAGCACTTAGAAATCCAATAAAGAGGCGGCTAATTTCATCAGCACACCCCCTTAGCGATGACATTCGGAAGCACCGATGCAAAGTGCCTGGAAAATGAGATTTACATATGAGAAAAGTGGGTTTCAATCAGCATTTTTCAGTGTAATTAAGTTCTCGTGGTTTTATATTTCCCAAGCGTTTCGTTGTTTTCAAAGCACCGTACTTCCCCCGCCCCCCCTTAAATGCCATATTTATGGAAAACCTAGACCTAGGAAAGAATTACTGTCCACTTATAAAGGAAGAATGTTTTCTCATCTGCCAGTGTAGAAAGCCAGCTTGGTACCAGATGGCTAAAGAAAGCTGCAGAAACTAACTGCTTGGCTTTAAATCACAGCAATAATAAGACAGGCACACAAGTGTTCCAGGAAATGGCATGCAGACGACAACCAAGGGAAAAATAACTGCAAAGAAAATGTCTTACCCAAATTGGGATCATATTCACTTATAAACCTCTTGGTTAGAAACTTCACAGTCAGTGCTGTAAAAGGCGAAACAAGGTTTGTTTAGTCTCAGTTTTGTTCGTGTCTCTGCAACTCAGCTTCACACCAGTAGCAAGTAGCTCTTGCATCCGCCTGCAAAGGGAAACGGACAAACTCTCCCTTGAGAAACCGTTCATGGGCCCGTTTAGTTCTGCTCATGAAATTAAAACATCCCCACACCTATTCTTCCCCTCAGGGTGAGTCCCAGAGTTCCCATCTGTGGAGTGGTACAAACTATTACACGGTCTATTTATACACACTCATTTCACTTTTGCTGAGCCTGCAGCACACTTTCAAAGGATCACCGATTAGATTTCACTAACACAATTCCCCTAGGAGTTTCTCAGAGATGGGATCTGAGCACAGGACTGGGACCAACAACTTCTACATTCTAATCCCACCTCTGACACTGACTAGCTGAGCCTGATGGAGACTGGCATAAATCCACCAGTCAATGGCACGGTAGCAACATCTGCCAGCTGAGGATCTGGCTCCAGGATTCCTTTCCTCCAGCGGCCCCACTGACAGAAAGATTTAGCCCAAAGTTTCTCTTATCGCCAGGTGTCAAAACCAAAACAGTCCTAATTTATTACACCTTGCAACTGACCACAGCCCAAATAATGTCACTGGGCCCTCCGAACCCCAGCCAGCTTGAACCAGGCCAAGTTTAAAATGCACCGTAGGTACTGCCAGGAAAAGCACAGCATCATCTGGCATTTCTGAGCTGGACATTTGTTGTCCCAGGACATAGTCACAGGCCCTCCATATAATCTGAGTGCAAAGCCATGGGGAGGCTTGGGGCAGAAGAAAGTCGTTTGCATTAACTAGAAATTATGGGATGGCTTTTCTCATGTTTATTTACTTTATGCAACATTGTACAGACAGAAACATATGGCAGATGAGTGGCCGTGCTTTCCATGTGATAACTGTGGTCATCGTGCACGTCTGACTGCTCCCCTGAACTCTGCCTACCAATCTAGCCCCACCAGGCCTTATGTTACCCTTCCAAACCCTCCACCAGGCACCAGCTGGTTATTTTTTTTAAATCAATCTACTCCTTCTTCCTTCAAATGTGGAATTTCCTCCCCTGCCGCCCTCCAATTTCTCTGCTCCTTTGCCACTGGAGTCTGCAGATACTGACCCGCCATGGGACAGGGGCAAGGAAGTAAAGGCTGTGATCGGGCAGTGCACTTAAACACCTGTTTTGCCTTCCATCCCATCCCTATTCGGCAAAGCTCTTGAGGCGTGATCCTGCAATGCTGACGGGAACGGGAGCCGGAACATTGACTTCAAAGAGCACAGGCTCAAACCCTTAAGCAGGTGCGGAGAGTTAAACGTGTGCTTAAGCACTCTGCTGAATGGCTGAACGGCAGCCTCTCCGCAGCACTCCTGTGCCGCTCACAACTTTCTCGCCATGTGCAGTGCAGGCGGGGCAGTACACAGTCTGCACTCGTAAGAGGGCGACGGGCTGACGTCTTGTGGCTGGAAATGGGACCTTTCCATCACTGGCGAGAAGGTGGCTCAGCTCCCAAACCTGGAGCTCAGAAAAGCTCTCCAGGGGCGTTTTCAGATGTGTTAGCTACAGTTCTTCTCCTCCCTCTCCATGGCCTGCAGTACGAAGGCCTCTGGCTTTATGGAGGTGGAGTTACACAAAACACACACCCCATCAAATTGTTGATAACTCTCTCAACCAGCTTTCCTGCTCGGTAGCCTACGTATTACCTGTGGGGCGGGTAATACAAAGGGTTTATTGGTGTTCCTTTGAGACGCCCTCGGGGTGAAAGTAAATCCAGTGACTTACCGGTACGCTGGGGCCAGCTCTGACCCCCAGAAGGGGTGGGGCCTAGGGCAGAAGGGGCGGGGCTGAGGGAGTCAGAGCCAGCCCCAGCCCACCCTGTAAGGTAAGTGCCCCCGCCCCCGGGTAGCAGCAGCAGCCCGGGGCTCCGGGGGCTATTTAAAGAGCCCGGGGCTCCCCTGTTTCTACCGCCCCGGCCCTGTAAATAGCCGCGGGAGCCCTGGGGACGTGGTGGGGCTCCAGCGGCTATTTAAAGGACCGGGGCGGCAGAGGCAGCTGGAGCCCCAGCCCTTTAAATAGCCCCTGGAGCCCCCCCCGCTACTCCTGGGCTCTGGAGGCTATTTAAAGGGCCCGCAGCTCCTTGCTTCTACCGTCCCGGCCCTTTAAATAGCTGCGGGAGCCCTGGGGAAGCAGCGGGGCTCCCGCGGCTATTTAAAGGACCGGGGCAGTAGAAGCAGCGGGCGCCCCAGACTTTTAAAATAGCCCCCAGAGTCCCACAGCCCTACCCCAGGGCTCCAGCAGTGGGGCTTTGGTGGCTGGGAGCCCCAGGCCCTTTAAATTGCCCCTTGGGGAAGCCAGGCCGCCCTGGTACGGCAAACCGGCTCTTGCCGGTACGCCGTACCGGGGCGTACCGGTTTACTTTCACCTCTGGACGCCCTCCATAACTCTCTCACAGCTCAGCCACTTGTGCGTAACACAGCTACCCCCAAACTACTGCTCATCGTTTTATACCACGCTGCCATCCGTTATGGCAGAGAGCATGACCAAGTACATAGGACACTGGCTGGCGCTCCGGAGACCTCGGATCTAGTCCTATCCTGGTGTGTGCTCTGCTGCGTGGCCTTAGACGTGTCATTTCCCCTTTCTGTGCATTAATTTCCCCATCTGTAGAGTGGGGAGAATGCTACTTATCTCCTTTATAGAGCACTTTGCAATCTATGGATGCAGAGCACCATATAAAGGGAGGTAGATAACAGGGTTAGTATCATATAGTCTGTATAATATATGAAAGGAGAAAGCTGTATTATATAGTGGGCACTTGGGACTGATCCTGCAGTCCTTACTCCCATAGTCGAAAATGATTCTTAGATTGTAAGCTGTTTGGGACCGGTATCGTCACTTAGCGTGTGATTGTACCATGCCTCGCTCCATCGAGTGACAATCAAAATCAAAGGGTGTTTTGTCTGTGTAAGGAGAGCAGAATCTAGTCTGATATTGAGTAGATTCATTTTGCTGCTGGTTATGGGTTGGATTTGGTACCAGGCTAGTCTGTTAAGAGCAGCCACCTCTATACACGCTTTTCCCAAAGAATGCAAGAGACGTTTTAGCCAGGAAGTGGCAGCTCGTTGAGTGTCAAAATTCACACAAGGAGCATTGGGTTGATGCAGAAATTAGGTCGCTTGAATCAGTTCACTCAAAGAACAAAAGGAATGAATGAAAGTCTTTGCAGTTCTTTGGGTTTGGGTGGAAGGCAGAGAGGATCAGATGTTAATCACCATCAGAACAGAGCAAAACATTTTCAGTGAATAGCAAAGTAGAGGAAAAAATGCATTTTTCAGAATAATTTTTCTGAAATTATTTCCGCATTCAGGTCAAATTTGAAGAACAGTTTTGACTGAAAAAGGAAATCTGGAAAAGTTGAAGTGTTTTTTTCTGACCATTTTGAAACATTTCATTTCGACTTTTTGATTCAAAATGGCATTTTGTTTCGAAATTTGGGTCATTTAAAAAAAAGGGGGGGGGACCACCCAAAACAAAACATCAAAGTGAATTGTTTTCAGGGGAAAACCCCTGTGACAATATCAGTTTCAGTTCAAATTGGACCCAAATTTATTAGTCACTCAGTTCTAGTCAGGTTTCAGAGTAGCAGCCGTATTAGTCTGTATCCGCAAAAAGAAGAACAGGAGTACTTGTGGCACCTTAGAGACTAACAAGTCAGAATTGTATAAATGCCAACATGAAGAAAATGCCATTCCAGAGGGAAGCAATTTCCCACTACAGATTCACCCCTGTATTTCTAGGAAACCTTTTTGTCTTGAGCATGTGTGTTGACTTCAGTGAGAATAATTGTAGGATGGTGGAACGGGCTTTTCTGGAAAATTGACTACATACTATAGAGCAGGGGTAGGCAACCGACGGCACGTGTGCCGAAGGCGGCACGCGAGCTGATTTTCAGTGGCACTCACACTGCCCGGGTCCTGGCCACTGGTCCGGGGGGCTCTGCATTTTAATTTAATTTTAAATGAAGCTTCTTAAACATTTTAAAAACCTTATTTACTTTACATACAACAATAGTTTGGTTATATATTATAGACTTATAGAAAGAGACCTTCTAAAAATGTTTAAATGTATGACTGGCACGCGAAGCCTTAAATTAGAGTGAATAAATGAAGACTCAGCACACCACTTCTGAAAGGTTGCCAATCCCTGCTATAGAGTCTACCAATGGCTAACAGGCAAACCCTGTTAAGTTTACGCTTTAGCAGGCAGTGTAAATGCAGTCATCGTGGTTACAGTAAACAGAATCTAAAGGTTTTGAGCTGTAGGTCCAACCCAGCAAGGCACTTAAGCACGTCGTAACTTTAAGTGCATGAGCAGTGCCGTTGATTTAAATAGGGCGATTCACGTGCTTAAAGTTAAGCATGCACGTAAGCACTTTGTTGGATCAGGGCCTTAGTTCTGATCATTGCAGTTTCTTCTCTGTGGGGTTTCACCCATCTGGAGAAGGACAAAGGGAATGAGGAAAGTTCTGTTTGCCAAAGGCAGCTCTCCTCACCTGGAAGATTCCTGGGCCACATTTTATACTGGATGGGCCATGTGGGTGTCCGGTGTGACTGTGAAACCAGCGAGATACGTTTGGCCCTGTGATGAATGCTCAAATACAATGGAGTTCCTACAGAACTACATTTGATTTCATCCAGACAACTCCCCCGGACAGCTTAGCACTGACGTTATTCCCGTGGAAGCTGTGAGGATCTGCCACTTTCATAACATTCAGGTGAACTAATGCTATGTTAGCAGCTTACCTCCAGTACCAGCGGGTGTTGGCTTTTGGTTTCCTGGGCATGATCATGTGAGGCCTGGGAACCACAGAGCAAGCCCAGGATCAAGGCAAAGCTGAGTCTCTGTGGTAAATTCCCATTTATTACCCTGTGGAGCTGCACGGCAAACTTGTAACCCACTTGCTTGTTTTACACCCATAGCTTCAAGGAAATAATATCAAGGCCTAGAAGTTATATAGCACGTTTCCTCTATAGCAGTGTTTTTCAAACCATGGATTGTGCCCCAATCCCCTGCCCCAGCCCTGAGCCCCCCCCAACCTGGAACCCCTTCCTGTCCCCCAAACCCCTCATCCCTGGCCCCAGCTCAGAGCCCTGACACCCCCCCCCGCAACCCAACCCTCTGTCCCAGCCCTCAGCGCCTCCCAAACCCGGAGCCTCTCCTGCACCCCAAACCCCTCATCCCCAGCCCCAGCCCAGAGCCCATCCCACACCCCAACCCCCTGCCCTAGCCCTGAGCCCCCCACCAAACCTGGAACCCCTTCCTGCAGCCAAAACCACTCATCCCTGGCCTCCTCCCACACCGTGAACCCTTCATTCCCAGCCCCACCCCGCAGCCCTCACCCCCATACCCCAACCCTCCCTGCCCCAGCCCTGAGCCCCCTCCCACACTCCAAACCCCTCATCCCCAGCTCCGTTGGGTCGCAGGCATCAACACTTTTCTTCAACTGGGTCCCCAGAAAAAAAGTTTGAAAACCACTGCTCTGTAGATCTCATAGTGCTTCATAAAGGATCAAAATCCCCACTTTACAGATGGGAAAACCGAGGCACAAAGAAGGGAAGTGACTTGCCCAGCAGGTCAGTAGCAGAGCCAGGAATAGAACCCAGGGTCCCTTGAGTCCCAGTCCGGTGCCCGACCCATTAGGCCCCACTGCCTAAAATGAACAAGAGCTGAACATGTTTTCCCCCAAGACCTCTCAGCCCAACCCTGGGGCTCTCTCTTTCCAGCTGCATCTTTCGCTCTCTCTCAGTGACTCTTTCCTTCTCACCTGATTTGCCGGATCCTCTGCATCCTAAGATCACCACGTTGCACTCAGGCAGCAGGCTGGGGAGGTGACGGTCAGTGGTGCTGGGGGCGGCCCGTGGCTTGCCAAACATCGAGGACATTCTCTTGCCTTTCAAAGAGAGCGAGGAGAAAGCATGGGAGCATCCAAAGGAGACCGACCACCCTATGGGGAGGAGCTCAGGTTACAGAGCTACACAAGTGCTGAGTGCTATCCTGTCCACCAGCTCCATCACCCCCAACAGATTCTGCAGCACAGGCCCACCTCTGCCTCAGCGGGATCGAAGAACATGGGGGGGACGCACGTTATTGGGGAGACAGGCACTCCCTCCTCCTCTCTCTCGCTCCTTTCCAGTTCTCTGCAGCAAACTCATCTTCAGCACCACCTGTCAATTTCCAACCTCCCTCACAGGGCACCACTAACTTCTTCCCGGCCTGAAGAAGCGAACAGCAATAGGGCTTGGGAAATCAGGGCCGTGACACGTCGTGGGAAAGGAGCACGAAAGAAATCCCCCATTCTCCTGAGTGCAATTTCTTTTGCATCCTTTAAATAAGCAGCAGCCCTGCAACGCGCAGCCTCCCCACAACACGCGCCTCCTTGCAGGAAAGAATTCACGTTAAGTTTTGCTGTGTATTTCCTGCAATTCCCCTCACCCATCCCGCCCCAACCGAACCCGCCATGAACACCCGGAAAAGGATGCTCGCTTTGCAAAGACAAGGCTGCAACTGATCTCTACCCCTGTGCCCTCCCGTCCCGCTATTAGAAACACAAGAGAAATTAGTCCTCTAACCTTGAAATCAGAGCTGGATTTTCATGAGGGACACAGAGAGGATGAGTTTGCTGGGCAGGCTTTGTTGTTTATATCCACAGATCCATGGTTTGCCCCCTGCTCACACGCACGCACACGCCTCCTCAAGGCAAGGCCAGGCTGCACCCACACACCGAATCCAGAGGAACAAGCCAGCCACCAGGCACCAATAAGCCGAGTGAATCATTGGGAACTCGGCGGCTGCGCCGTCCCCACGGCTGCTGGCTCCAGCCCTCAGCCCCGCGCGTGAATGAATGAGGCAGGGAGGAAGAGAGCTCAGGCTCCCTGCAACTTTCGCCAGCTGAGTCCCAGCCAAACTCCTTGTAAGGAAAGCTGCTGCCTCTCTCGGGCTCCCCTGGATACAATTTCCCATCAGCACAGGGGACTTTCCTCACAGCAAACAAATAAACCTGCCGAAAAGGCCTTCGAGGCTCACGGGGATAGAAACACACCAGCTTGTGGTTCCCCTGGGGGCTTCTGTATGCTACAGTCCTGCCCCCCCCCCCGGACACTACAGCATCACCCTGCGCTGCACGGTATCCTTGCAGCACACTCGATACGAATACTTCCGTTCTTAATAAAGGGCGGCTGCAAGAAGCTGTTAAAAGGAGAAGGAAAAACCTCTCTAGGAACCCACCCTCTCCTCTTTCCAAGCCCTCCTCAAATCACACGGCTCCCCACGAGCCTATCAACTATTTCAGCCGCCACGCAAGGAAGTGCAGTTGCTCTGTAATAAATACATATGTATAGGTGATCATGTCATCTCCTCCGCACACTGTGCCGGCTGGGCCCGTGCTGCCTTATCATCTCTCGTTCAGAAACACAGAGAGACCTCAGGCAGGATAGGGTGCCCAGGATCACACAGGAAGTCTGTGGCCGCGTTAGGGATAGACCTTAAGTGTCCTGAGTTGCAGCCCAGTGCGCTATCCATCAGGCTGCCCTTCCGACCCTTAAATCCCTGCTGAAATTTAGCGGCCAGGGAGGTTTTGCTTTGGTCCGCAGGAAATGACTTGGGTAATTATGGGGGCGCTTGGCTAAATAAACTCAGAGCATCCGAAGAAAATAAGCAAGTAATAGCATGGGACTTGATTTAGCTGGACTGGAAGTGCTGGGGCGGGGGGGGCCAGGACCAGGTTTTTGTTATTCATTTGTTATGTCCGATGTCTAGCTCAAAGGGGTCCTGATCTCTAGGGGCTACCATAACACAAAGCGTACATCAGCAGCAGCTCTCTCAGATGCTTTGGGAAGTGAATCTGCCCGGCCCAGTTTAATAGCTCAGCTGGTGTTTATAGATTTCTTTCACGTGACAGTTAGCTGAAGGTCAGCAGAGGCCAACTTTTTCCAGAAAGTGACCAAACACAGCTGAAGACAGTAGGTCCGAGTCAGCTCCCCGTTAGGCCAGTGAAAATCCAGAGTGACTTCTCTGAACTCCATAGAGTTCCCCCCGTCGCCCGGCAGAGTCAGGAATAGAACCCAGGCATCCCAGCCCCCAGCCCTAACCGCTAGGTCTCACTGCTTCCGTTCATTCATTTGCTGCAAGAGATTTGTAGAATGCCTGTTGCTGTAGCAACTGGCTGTTGCTGTCATCTCCAGAGCTCCCTGCTCCAGCAGGCTTTAAAGGGGCTAATGAGTCTGCCAACCAAAGGGCCAGCTTGGGGGCAACACAATAAGCAAAACAAAGCAACCTCCCCACCCCACAAAAATCCCCTAATAATACACTCAAGCCATCAACCAAAAGCTAAACAAACTCAGCTGGTGTAAATCAGAATAGGTGGTGTAAACTGAAGTCAGTGTTGCTATGGTGATTTATACCAGATTAGGATCCGGCCCTGTCTATTTGGATCACACAGACGCATGTGCTTGCTTGGCGATCCGTCATGCAGTCCTTAGGCCTGGTCGACACCTAAAATTCAGGTCGCCCTAGTGACAACATTCCGGGGTATGAACAATCCACGCTCCTGAGCACGGCAGCTATGCCGACCTTGCCATGGTGTGGACACGACTAGGGTGATGGAAGAATGCTTCCGGAGAGCTAGCTACCCTCGCGTAAGGAGGTGGATTACCTATCGTGAGGGAAAAAATCTCTTGCATTGCTGTAGGCTGCGTCTACACTCCACGGTTATGCCAGCCTTGCTATGGTACCAGAGCTACCCACTATAACTCCCGTAATGCAGATAGGGTGGCCAGGTGACCCGGGTGTAGGGGTTGGAGGGGAAAAGCAATGAGCAATGAGGGGGAGGGGGAAGAGGAGTGAATGGGGCGGGGCCTCAGGGGAAGAGGCGGGGCAGGGGTGGGGCCTCGGGGGCTTTGCAAATTGCTTTGGGCTCCCTTGGGACGAACAGCTCTCTTTTAACATACATCGTTACAGCGTTACTATTCTGATTGTCATCCATGAAAACAAGGGAGTTATTTTTAAACCTGCCAGAAATAGTCACTGCTTGCGGCGGTCCTGCCTGTGCCTTGGAGACAGGCTCTGGTGATACTATCAGCTAGAGGCAACAGCTAGCTCCTTTTCAGTACTGGGAAGCCAGAGGTCATGCTGGGACCGCCCTAGAAGCAGTCATTTTTCCACACTGACCTCTATTTCAGTAAATATGGTAACTGGTCATTACTGACGCTCCCATGCAAAAATGGCTCATTTTTCTAGCAGCTCACATAAAACAGTCTTATCAAAACACCCACCCGTTAACTACAACCCATTACTGGCACTGACTGTAATTTATGGTGCAGTTGGCAAGGCCCTTACATAAACACAGCAAAGCACTGGAAAAGTCAGGTCACCAGGCCTAATTAACGCAGGGCCTAATCCTGCAGCCTTTAGACAAACAGCCCCTCCTTTGGGCCCGGCCCTGATCACACACTTACTGAAATCAAGAGTAGCTCCAAAGGGAGCTCCGAATCCGGCCCAGTGAGATTGCTCCTATGAGTACAGGCTGCAAAGCCAGACCCCGAAACTCACACACTGTCTTAACGAACACAACACAGGCCAAAGCACTTTCCTGGTGCTGGCCGCACATACAATTCCGTCCATTTTCACAGCCTTGCCCTCAGCTGGTGTGAATCGGCTTCGCTCTGTCACGTTCAGAGCAGCAACGCCGATTTGCGGCCTTCTGAAGAGGTGCCAGCCTGAGGTCAAAGGAGCCGATTCTGATCTCCCTCTGCCTTTACATCACAGCTAGTCCATTGGCTTCAATGAAACTAACGCAAGCCCCCAAATGCCTCCACTTCAATCACCCCCAAAACATGGTATGGGCTACCCCCATGCTGCTTGAAGCAGCAGCAGTAGACTCTGCAGTCGCTTGGTGACTTCACCTAAGGATCTCAAAGCCATTTATTAATTCAGCCTCACAGCACCCCCTGGGGTAGTATTGCGCACTCCCCCCCAGAGAGGCTCAAAGAGGGCAAGTGACCGTTAGGCCATGCCACCTCCCTTGTGTGGTATTGCTTCTGTGCAATGGTTTTTGCCAAACGTTGTAACAACTGACTCGTGCTAAGAGTCCCAAGCCCTGTGGCTGTGCCAGTAGCCAGTAAAGCCAAAACTTACAGCCATTTATCAGAGTGCCCTCCTGTCTGAGGGCTCTGTTCACCTGGTGGTGGAGGGGCTGGGTTTCTACACCAGCTCTGAGAGACAGGGCCGATGACCCAGATGCTCTGCTGTGTCCAGTTCGCGGTAGGTGCAGCTGAGGGGGTCACAGTTATTGTTTGCAGCTCCCAGATCCTGGGCCCACTCCCCAGCGTAGTTTAGAGCAGCCTCAGTGCTGCTCTAAACTACTCCAGCTGGCTAGTATGCAAACCGGGGATTACCAGAGTGTAGCAGTGCTCTGGCCATGCCATCTTCCTCCCAGCCTTGTGAGGAAGACAGTCCTCACACCAGAGGATGGGGGTATAAGTGTTATGTATTCCCACTCTAAGATGATCTAGGAATGCCCTCGCCCTCAGGGAATGCCCAGCCAGCTCGCTCCACTGGTTTACAGCTGCTTTGCACTAGCCCAGTGCAAAGGGATTGAATCTAGACCAGTGTCTCTGAGAGCGCAGTAGGGAAGTGCATATAACACCTATAAGAAGGTGTAGGGTGCCCATCAACCCATCCCTATGGTGCTTCTAGTGATTCTCTCAGAGTTAGGGCCCCGAGTCCTTGCGTACTGGGAGAGCACAGACCAAGGCTGCATTTGGTCCTTGCACAGCTCACAGGGTAAAGGACACAGCTCCTAGCACCCCCAGCCCGCCCAGCCCTCCTGTCCCCACTCATAGCTAGCCACAGTCTATTCCCTGTCACCACTTTGCTACAGGTGAACCAAGGGGACGACATTAGCAGCCCTTCTCTTTCGGGCTGCGTGTGTTGAAAATTAATCACAGTTCAGAGCTAAGTGTTTTTTCAAACCCGAGCCCTTGCCAGGTATTTGGAGAGATAAATCACGGCAACAAAAGCAAAGACGACATGTCCGAGATGCTGCTGCATGGGAGAGCTGCGCTAATCGTTCCTGGAGCCGAGGGGGAAAACAACTTCATGGGGCAGCGCAACGTAAATATTTATATGATTCAAAAAAGTCTTGCATATATCATCATAAAATTCCCCTGTTATTAAGGCTTTAGGTGCTAGGGTGGAATTTGTTTAGCTTACATCCCGAAACTGTGATTCTTTTAGACGCTAATAGCCTGCTGTTTTCCTTTGCCCCATGTGTGCCTGCAAACATGAGCTAGACTCCACTGTGCTGATATCAGATCTGGCAACCCGGGTTTGCAAAAATAGCACTTTATGGTACATGTCTTTATATAGCTATTTTACCAGAATAGCAGATATTGCAAAATCGCCCCGAGTAATCTTACAAACAAAATCCCTAGGATTCCCGGGGGGAGTGAAAGATTCGCTCTTTAGATCGGGCTTTAAATTAAACCACGATGAAGGGACCCACTAGAGGATGCTTGCAACCAAATGACTTTCTTCCTACGCACACTGGAGACAGCCCAGGCTGGAAGAATGAAGGAGCATGTGGCAGAAGATACCAAATTCCCATCTGCTGCGGGGTGCTCTCAGGCAAGCCACTTTAAATGGTGACTAACCATATGTACTGCAGCAGCACCTAGTGACCCCCACTTGAGAGCGGGGACCTATTGTGCTTGGGGCTGCCCCTGCCCCAAAGAGTTTACAGTCTAAATAGACAAGGCAGACACAGGGAAACAAAGGCAGAGAGAGGTGAAGTGATCTGTCCAAGGTCACACAGCAGCTCATTGGTAGAGTCAGGGATAGAGCCCAGGTCTCCTGACTCCCAGTCCAGTGCTCTATCCACTAGCCCAAGCTGCTGCCCCATTCACTGCCGCCGTTTCTTTCTGCATTCATCGGGGATAAAATGTAATCATCTCCTTCACATGGAATGATTGTGAAGCACTTTGAAAATGCGCGGGCTATATAAATGTTAAATATTATTAGGAATGTTTAGTAAGTGTGTAGGTCAGGGGTCGGCAACGTTCGGCATGCGGCTCACCAGGGTGCTTA